GCGGCAGTGTAACGGTCAGCGGCAGTGTAACGCTTAGCGGCAGTGTAACGCTTAGCGGCAGTGTAACGGTTAGCGGCAGTGTAACGCTTAGCGGCAGTGTGACGCTTAGCGGCAGTGTGACGCTTAGCGGGCTGCGCTGCGAACCCAGCCACCCGAGTTCGATTCCCGCTCACGACCGATACCAGTGACGATTATCTGAGCCTGTCCTGGGCCTCCCCTAGGTCGACTCAGCCTCAACTGAGTACCTGGTGCGGTGTGTAAACATCGCCACTGGGGAGACAAAGGCGGCCCGGCGTGGTAGGTGCTCCTCGCTAACAGTACTTGCCCCAACAGTGTGTTAAAGCTATATGGGAGATCTTTGACTTTGTTGTTTTCATGAATTATCAGCTGCACGGTGGTGTCGGTTGGGGTTGCATCTCGTATATCATGGGGGGCAGGGGGGAAGTGGCTTAATTACGTGCGTGGGTTTATTGAGGGTTTAAGGGGTTGTCTGCACAAGACTCCCTGTGGCAGTCACTTATATACATATATTTGTTTTTATTGTCAGAGGTGGAAATTTGCCAAATGAAGCAGAAACGTGAACTTTGCAGGATTTTTTGATTGTGTGTGTGTGTGCGTCATAATTGGTGACTGGGCCGAGACCATCAACTCACTCCACTTGAACATCTTGTTGAATGACAGGTGGCTCGCCAGGTTCGATCCCCTTGATTTCAGTGGAACCCGTTGAGTGCTCTAACCCCTAAGCAAACAAATGCTGTCTCCTGAACACCTCTGAGTAGCCGGGTGGCTAATTACTATAATCTTATTCTTACTTTTGTTGAGATACTATTGGCGGTGGTGCACACACACAAACTCGACAGCGTCATCAATAACACTGCAGATATCTCCTCTGTGCTGCGAGGAAGGATCATTGCCCTAAAACGTCACCTGTTACATGTGCATTCTTGTTTCGGGCAGTCTCATTGATGAACGTGTGACGTTTTTGTTATTTATACAAGTGAATGAGATGAATAAAATGTACAATTAACTTACAATCAAGAAACATGTTACTTTATGAAGACAAGGCCGATGTAATCGGAAAAGTGACCACATCAATTATCTTCCTTTTAATATTTCGCATCACCCGAGTACATACCATTATTAATTCATGCCTTGATGCAAGAAACCAATTTTTGGTGATCAATTAATTAACGATATTCCTGCCACACCAAAATCAGAAGGCAGACGCCACCAAAGCCCTCCTTCAAGGATATGTGCCACGGCGGGTAATGATCCTTGAACGTGACATTTCTGCGAACGCTCCCTTCGTTGTCAGAAAATGTCACGCACTCTTGATACTTAGGACCCGAGCAGGTTGTTATAATGTGTAACCTTTTAGCATCTATCCATAGCAGCATTTGTCTTGCTGCGATAAACAGTGGCTGTTTTGGGGGGGGGGATGCTGGGACATGAGTGATGTCGGGAGGGTAAATGGGCCTTTAGAAGCTTTCACCCGTTGCAATAATCAGATTTGTTTAATAACAATTATTACAAAAAAATGCTGTAAATATCACCTCACAAGTGCCATATCTATTGCCCATTGTGATCAATGACTCGATAGGTGAAAACTGCTCCATAAATTTGTTTGTCGAAACAAATACTGTTGGCTGAAAATAAGGCCAGAACGGCCAATTTGGCGGACTGGTAGTGTTTATTTTACTGCATACCTGTTTATAATTATTATTTTACTAATGGTATTGGAGAAGCCAAATGAGACATTAATTATTGGTGATGCCTCGTGGGCAATGAGGAATATTGTGAGCATGTGTCACGATGCTGATCAGTTTGGGATTGTGATAATGGTGAGGAGTGCAGAACAATAGGGCTATCCCTACTGCCCTCTCCTGCCAACAACTCCTACCACACCTGTATTTTGTAGATGGTGGTCACCCATCAAAGCACTCTTCAGGCTCAGACTTGCTTAGTTTTTGAGATCTGATGATATTAGGTGCATTCTGGGCGACTTGGTCACAGACTGTACTGTACGTATACTGAACAAATTCTGCCTCTACCATCTCCGAGCAACCAGGCAATATTTGTCTACCCGGCTACACTAAGAAAGCTGAATCCGATACATGTGGCTCATAGGCTAATTAATTAAAATATTTAGAATCAGCAAGGTCAGTCTACAGCTGGATGAAGACCCCCCCCACCCCCCAATCCACTGCCATCTCTAACGATCCTGAGAAATCATCACGATCTTTGAGGAGATAGCCCATAGTTGTCCACTTGTGCCAATATACTCAAGTAGTGGACACCTTTCTGGCAACAATTCCTTGTCGTCAAGGTCAAGCCATTCTCTGTTCGGACTTCCTCTCTCTCCTCGGTTCCTTCCATTTCTCCGAACAACACACTTCCACTCTCCTGAGACATTGTAGGATCAAAACGTGGCTCGATTTTTTTCATGATGTAACAAACCCTTTCATTTTGAGAAGGAAGGAGGCAACTGTAGAAAGCGGTGATAGTGGGGGGGGGGGGGGGGGGGGGGGAGTGTAAATGCATTGGAAGAGATGCAGCCAAAACTTTGGGATTAATAACCATTGAATGTACAGACACACCGCTGGTGAGCACCAGCTCTGGATGTTATATAATTTATATATTTTGGGTCTCTTTGTTCTCAAAACCCACGTTATCCTTAATGGTCAATAATGTTCTGGATCCACCCATGTGGAAAGTTTTATCTGTTAAATATGAAAGTGTTGTTGAAATACTCAGCATGAGATAATATATTGAAGTCGGTTGCTTTAGAGCTTTTAGAATTTCAACAAAGCTATGATTGCTGCTTTAGAGCTTTTAGAATTTCAACAAAGCTATGATTGAATATTTGTTAATACACTAATTTAATTGTCTGATTTTTTTTCATTGTTATTATCAAGGTCGTATTGCAGTCCTGGTATAGTGAATATTTAAACATGTTTATGGTGGTGAGTAATAATTAAAAAAACCTTCATTTCTCCAAATTTGTTCCATCTTGGCATTATGCAGTGTGCATAACATTCATACCACCTTCCACGGGCTTTGGGCTCTGGAATGTGTCGCTGGGAATTCATGATCTGAATGACAATGCTGTGTTGCAATTTGACAAAACAGCCTTACTTATTCATGTACTTACACAACAACAATTGCACATTGCAATTTTTCAGCAAATTGGTTGGACACACAATGTATCTAAATTCCCCGCAAATCACTTTTTCTGCTAACCCTTACATTTATTATTTTGTGTTTTTGTATAAATATGTATATTTTACTCTTATAGAGTATTTTTCCCCCTCTGTATATATTATAAATCTCTCAGCTTTGCATTGCATCATTTTGAATTTCTTGTATAGCCTCTCTCTCTCTCATTAATCTCCCTCCATGTAATCTCGCAAACCTGATTCCCCCCAAGCCACCTCCCTCACTACATTGTATTCATATATTGTTTTAAAATAGAATACACATTAGACACTTTATGAATCAAACTTTTCTACTATTCATTTGTCAGAAGAGAAAACCATTCCCCCCCCCCATATATGTAAAAAACAACATGTTATTCTCTTTTAATAAAGATCAAAATATGATTTCCAAATTGCAAACTTTTGCCCAAAGGGAATGTTTTCAATTGGTGTGTTGAAGGTGTTAGGATGCACCATTCATCATAAGGCACTGGGAGTGCCGGGGTATTGATGGGTTTTCCAGTAAAAAAAAAACACAACTTAGAATCACGACAGCACTCTTGATTCCAAAACAAATCGAGAGATTGAAATAAATTGCGTGTCACAAAATCTTTAATGCACTTATAGATAATATTGCATTCGTGGATTTTTTTATTTTGTCTAGCAGCATGAGCAAGAGAAAAACGTTGTATTTCAACATGATGCTGTATGAAAGCTTTATCACCACAGTATTCCATATACTCCACAACATTGGTCAAACGGTCCGTGTAGTCATAGTAACGATCGGTTAAAGCCATATACCCAACCATACACAGAGTGCGGACTTCCCCGATTTCAAATTAACGCTGTATGTTACACGCAGTTTAGAGTAGGTGAGATTTAAATAACCTATGAAAGTAATCAAAACTTTAATTTGTACTTCGTAATAATGATGGCAGACAGCACACTATAAAGTATATAATATATCCCTTTCCATTATTATGAAGAATATAAATCGACTTTTTTTTTACTTCCCCTATCAGCCTGGATTGGTTTTATTGTTTGGCAATAAATACGTTAGTAAATAAAGCATTGTCATATTTAAGAATGCAATTTGGCTGCCTGTTATTGGCTGCTGAATAAATTAACAGGGGCATGCGGAAACAAACAGATAACAGGATCCGACACCACTCCGTGTTCGCTTCGTTTTCAAACACCTCGTATTGTTTGCCGTGCAATACTCCTTAATGACCCTGTAACTCATCTGCAATGTCGATGTTTTAATTTTGTTACCGCTACGCTCAACGCAAGCCCGGATCTCCCTTGTAAAATAGCCGGGCGACCGGCCGAACGGGACCAACAATTCGCGTAACAAATCGCATTTCAGCGCGACACTCGGTGACGACTGCGCTCATCACGATGCGGACCAACGTGGCTCGCCGTTCCGCCTCACTGGGTGACGTTCCTCTCCGCCGGGGGGCCCTTCTCCCGTTGATGTCTGCGCGACCCAACCCACGCCCGGCCATTTCCTCTCTCCCGCCTGGGGGCTTCTCGCACAGGATGAACGCGTCGCGCGCGAAGCCAAAGCGCCCTTAACAGGACGCGTTATTCGACAGCGAGCTCGAAGCTCATATCGGATCAGCCTGAGCCGCATCCGCAACCGACAAGGCCAGACAAATGGAACATTCAAAATTGTGCAGCGGCGCTGCGACTGCGGTCATCCAGAACAGACCGTGCAGCGCGTGGCGACGCAATGCCCCCCCCCCGCCCACCGATCCACAAGTACGATGAAGACATCGCAGCGAAAACGACTCTGTTGTTCCTCGGCCACCTGAATGTCACATTGTAGTTGCGGCTCTGCGTCGACATTCAGGCGTTCGAAAGAAAAAGGGGATTCAAAAGCTAACATTAAAATTGACCATAGACTAGACAGACTGTATTATCTCGGCGAGCACTGCACGCACCACTATGATTTATCTCTTATAATCATCATGATCATCATCAGCCACAGTCAAACCACTGCTGGATGAAGTCCTACCCAACCCGGCATCATCTCTCACTAACCCGCGGTGTAACGATCCACCGAGCATCTGTGCGACGAGATGATTTCACGGTTCCATCTCCTCAATGGATACCCTTTAATCTCTTTTAGAATTAAACATGTTAATTTCACGGCTAATTTCCAAAGGTATACATTGTGTAGCCATGCATATTGCGGGCAACCCACTTGCAGACTATTATCCCGATCCCACAGTGTGTCGAGGGACAGCGTTTGTTGTGGTTGTTGCAAGCAAAGTCAACCGCGAACAGATACACCTCTGAGATTGATAATCATTTCCTGCTGGTTGAGATTTTTTTTTTGTAAAAAAAAAAAAGCGTGGACAAAAAAGAGAAACGCCCTCCATCGCTTCTGATTTAAGCGGAGCCTCGCGGCGTCCGAAGACACCCCGATATTGAGAGCGCAGCGCAAACCGCGCGTAGTGGCGAGAATTCCTGCTTCGGGAAAATGCGACGGAAAGTTCGCCTGAGAGTGTCTCCGAATGCCGCGTCACGCTTTGTCCATCCCAGGACGGCTTTGTGCAACGAACAGAGGAAGGGTGGTTCGAGGTGTTAGCTGCGATTGTTAGCAGTCACCCATAACGCAATAATACATTGCACACCTCGCATTTTTGATGGCTCTAGAATGACCCATTTACTGGGTGTGCAGATTTAAATTTTTACTTGCGGTCTTGGCAAAATTAAGATTATCCACTTCATGAATTCACATTATCGTCATTATAACTGCATTAGGACTGTCCTGGCTGAGCGGCGTTGCTCTGTAGCTGCACGAGCAGCCATCTGGAACTCTCTTCCAGCATCCAAGCACCATCATCCACCTTCAAGCAAGAGTTTAAGGCTCTCACCTGTTCAGGCTCTCACCCGTGCAAGGTATCATCTTTGCATGTTCAGGCTCTCACCCTTTCAAGCTCACACCTGGTTCAGGCTTTCACCTGTTCAGGCTCTCAGCTATTTAGGCTCTCACCTGTTCAGGCTCTCAACTGTCCAGTTTCTCACCTGTTCAGGCTCTCAGCTGTCCAGGGTCTCACCTGTTCAGGCTCTCAGCTGTTCAGGCTCTCACCTGTTCAGGCTCTCACCTGTTCCGGTTCTCACCTGTTCAGGCTCTCAGCTGTCCAGGCTCTCACCTGTTCAGGGTCTCACCTGTTCAGGGTCTCAGTTGTCCAGGCTCTCAACTGTTCAGTCTCTCAACTGTTCAGGCTCTCAACTATCCAGGCTCTCAGTTGTCCAGGCTCTCAACTGTTCAGTCTCTCACCTGTTCAAGCTTTCACCTGTTCAGGCTCTCACCTGTCCAGGCTCTCACCTGTTCAGGGTCTCAGTTGTCCAGGCTCTCACCTGTCCAGGCTCTCAACTGTTCAGGCTCTCAACTGTCCAGGCTCTCAGTTGTCCAGGCTCTCAACTGTCCAGTCTTTCACCTGTCCAGGTTCTCACCTGTCCAGGCTCTCACCTGTTCAGGCTCTCAGTTGTCCAGGCTCTCACCTGTTCAGGCTCTCAGTTGTCCAGGCTCTCACCTGTTCAGGCTGTCACCTGTTCAGGCTCTCACCTGTTCAGGTTCTCACCTGTTCAGTCTCTCACCTGTTCAGTTCTCACCTGTTCAGGTTCTCACCTGTCCAGGCTCTCACCTGTTCAGGCTGTCACCTGTTCAGGCTCTCACCTGTTCAGGCTCTCAGTTGTCCAGGCTCTCGCCTGTTCAGGCTGTCACCTGTTCAGGCTCTCACCTGTTCAGGTTCTCACCTGTTCAGTCTCCCACCTGTTCAGTTCTCACCTGTTCAGGTTCTCACCTGCTCGAGCTGTCTTACCAGGAACTTTGAGCTCTGGCTCTTCAACTCCGAGTTCTCAATCGAACATTGCGTCTGGTATGAGAAATATGTGCGCATTTTAATTGTTGTTCATTATTTTTATTGAAACAATAGTCATGTTTATAGGTCTGTAAACATTACACAGCTTATGAGTCGCTAATTTTAAATGCATTTTAATATACATGAACATTCTATTTACTATATATTTTTTAAAATTACATTTTGCGAATGCAAACTGCAGACAACTAATTTTAGTGCCTTTTATTATTTTAGCCCCGAATAAATTGCTTTCCCTATCTCTATCTCATACAACAAGGCGTGAAATGTGCTGCAAAGTGTCACATTAATATGCGACTTAGTTAAGCGGTGCAATGTATATAACACCTGTAAGTCACCACATTTTTAAAGTGACAAATTGGATTTTGGAATAAGCAGTCGAACCTGCCAACATTAATTATTCTGTTCAAGCCGTCCGTGAAAGGCAAAGTGAAAATGAAGTTTCATTGCTTTTGCATTGAATAAATAAAGTAATTAAACACATTCTACACAAATGCTGTTAAACAATATACTGTAAACACAGTGGTGGATAGGACATTTATCTCAACTAAAGAATAATGCTCAGTGGACCGAAAAGTTGATGCCTGTAATCAATGGATAAACTTTTCCCCATCAGAATAGTTAAATGTCGATGACTGTTCTGACATCCCCAATGGGTAACTTCACTCCAGCCCTGTCAGCTGTTTGCTCAGTGATTTTTCCAAAAAGAGCTCGGTTGTAAATTTTACTCTTGTGCTGATGAAGCAACCTTGTGGCAAACAAGAGCTTGCTAATTGTGTTAACTTTAATTTGGTATGAAAAAGGCAAAGGTGCAGTCCTGCAATTGCTCCCTCACTCCGATGCTGACAGAAGAACCTCCACTAGCTCTAGAAACAGCCCCTCCCAGACAATTTTCGGATAGGATAAATTGTGTTGATGTAGCGGTGCACACCAGTGATGGGCAGACAGCATGGCTGTTAAGTAGTGTATCCACCGCATGGCTGTAAATTCCCTTGCAATGTGCATTACTCATTGGCTAGAGCATGGATAGTACCGCCAACTGTGATCAGTTAAAAGGAGGCTGGGAGGTGAGGACGTTGAAAGGCTCTCTTCCAAGCTGGCCAGAAAGTCCTAGAAGAGGTGGGAGTTCCCACACTTTATCCCACCACACGAGATCGACTGTGGTGAAACCATTTATAGTGTTGGGTGGACAGAGGCAGTTGAGGTGGGCGGGCGGGGGGGGGGGTCATGCATGCTCCCCATTGTTTCAGCTGCCGTACCGGGAGATCGAACCAACGATTCCTGGATTGCATGTCCGGTGTCTTAACCATTACGTCCCAGCAGCAATCCCAATTTGATGTGTTCGCCTACAAAAGTAAAACAGTTTATATCATGACAGTAGCTCAAAAGGGTGCTTTGGAATATATTTGTGATTTTTTTTTATTTTTACATAGAAGTGAACACTGCTAAATGGGACATGTATAAACATCTGCAAAGGTTAAGTGCTATTTTGTTTTGAGACATTTCAACACATTGCATAATAAGTAACTTAGTCAAGTATCTATCTCATGGTAGATTATGATTTTCTCTTGTGCTGTCTTTCAAAGAACGGTCAACTGCAGCAATTACCTTGTGGGGATCATGGTTCCCCAGTCAAGTTATACGATGACGTTCATACTTAAAGGCTTCCAACTGACTGCAGTTGATCCTAAGCAGGCATCATTCTTTTTCATTGGATGCATCTTCAGTTTTGTTTTGAGCGGAACTTTCAAATCTCACGAGTATTTATATTTGTTACACTTCCATTCAAGAGGGTTAGCTTGAGAGTCTCTTCAGTGGCTTTGGTTTAATGATGCCACAGTAGCACATTGTGAAAGCTGATGTCTGCTTGATACATACTTTATAGCTCCCTTAACGACTGCAATTTGGTGTTAAGTGGCCTGTGCATCAGTGCTGCTGAGTGTGATGAAATACACAAGTAACATCGCAGCAAGGAAGCTGAATTCTCCATTTAATTGTGTAATGTTTGTACAGTTGACCGCATGTTGTGACGGTGGAATTCGCATAGTTTATCCTATCATTGTACGACACCTCGAGGGGTTTTATTTTTACCAATGTTTGCTGTTGCTCTATTCTCCACCGCTGAATTTTGTACACTTTTGCAAAAGCAGTGAAGCTTACGAAATGTGTGGCCTATTTACTCTCAGCGTGCTAAGGTGCGTTATGTTGTGAAGTCTGTAGAACTAAAATAGAATCTGAAAGCCGGTTAAGTTCTTGGGCATGTGCACTTTAATGACTTTCTAAGTAATTTTGCAAAGCAGATGCAGGGTTTTGGTATTTCCTTTGCAGTAAATTTTTTGTTGTTTTGTATTTGCATCTTGCTTTTCTTGTCTTTTAGGAATTGTTTAGTGCACATATTGTTCGTCACCGATACAGAGAAGTCATACTTCAATGCCCTTTGTCTACGGCCAGGTAAGAAGCCATCGAGACCAGGAGCGCATGTTTTTATTCTATCAGTCAAACAATATCCTTCATTTAAAATCAGATGGGAGCCCGCCGAGACTAAAAGTCTGTTTTTCAAGGGAGACATGGGTCACAAAAGCAATGCAATACCACATGCGATAAAAGGTCGAGACAATATGGTATAGGGTCGGAATATTAAGCGATAAAGAAGACCCTTATATTACGGTGAGACTCCTCTTAGCCAAGCTTCTCTTATCTGCGACTCCTACCATCTGTGGCAAGGATCTATCCTTAAAAACCCCTATTATCTGGGGCGATTGTGTTAGACAAGAAATGTAGCATGACAAATTCCTCCTATTGTCCGCATGTATTCGTAGATTAGAACTCCCACGATTTCTTGCCCGTGGATTTATGATCATGTTGAATTAATGACAAATCATCATGAACTCTAAACTGAAGCGAAACTGTTTTTTTTATTTTACCAGGTAAGGCCTATTGAGATGTATAGCTTTTTTTCAAAAGCGACCTAGCTATCACAAATGATAGTTCAACGAAGTGGCCCATCATGTGGAAATGTATTGCAGCCCCGGAGCGAGAACACGCAATCTCCAAATATACAGCAGCAGGCATCGTCAGGGCTGGGATCGAACCCACGACCTCCTGTATACCAGGCGAGGTAGTTAACATCTCGCCACCGCGACGCCCCCTCAATTGTTGTACGTCCAGTGTGCTAGCCATTTCACCACAGAAGCCCCTTTTCGAATTAGGGGAAAGGGGGGGGGGGGGGTAGGACATTTGTGAACTTTTTTTACACGGTACTTAAGAGTTGTTTTTTTTATCTCAAGATTTTAAAAGGGTGCTCAATCCATATATAAAATCTGATTTTTGATAGAACAACGTGTGCCCTATCAAACAATTTGAGCCCTCATACATTTCGAGAGCAACATATGATACGTTTTTTTTGGTAGAACCTCAAGGCTATTAATGTTTGTGTCTGGAAGTTTTGAAGGATACAAAATCCAAATATTAAATGAGCTTTTTTTGTAAAATATTTGATTCCTATCAAATTATTCAAATTCTCTGCATTTTAAGAAAATGCGTACAAGCATACTTTGTGCTTATACATAAACATTTTCAATTCCCAAATGTGCCTAATATTTGCGTCCAGTATTTAAAAATCTATTCACGGGTATTACATTTTACATACATAAACCATTCTGTCACCATTCCGTTTGTTGCTGCATATCTTTTCACCAAGTAAATTAATGAGAAATTTACCTAGGCTACGAAAAGCTGAAAATAATGTTTGTAGCAAAGAAGAATTACATATTGTTTCAGCATATGTCGTTGCTTTTATTTTTTCCAAAGAAGAAAAATGTAATCGCAATTAGCCTGAAATGTACCACCTCCCTGTTGTCTGTATATGAATCCATAAACGACAATTGTCAAGGGCTTATTGGTATACAAATTCCTATCATGGTCTTTTTTCCCAACATTCTAGGGTTCTAGGCTAATACAGTGTACACGCCACAGCACCAGTGATGCATTTCGTGGACCTGCCCCACTCTACAGCTCTCCCCGCGTGTTGTCGCGGTTGTACCGCGTGCACGTTGGCACGATGTCTCAAGTCTCGCGGCGCGGGAGCTTCATCAGGAACCCAGCTCAATGCACAATGAGTTCCGTGCGCGTGCAACAGTTAGCAGCATGCGGATTTCAGCTCACTTCCTGACACCGTGCTGAACAACACGTGCCACAAACCCGAAGACACGTCGTGCAGCTATATGGGCACAGTGGCAAAACCTACACAAGTAGCCTTTGCCGAAACATTGTCGTTTCCATCAGTGTGCATAGAAACTAAAAGTAAACTAAACTTTCTACGATTTTATTTTAGCAGGTAAGGCCCACTGAGCTATATGGCTCTTTTTTTCAGAACCGACCTGGCCACAAATAATAGCTCAACAAAGTGGATTATCACGTGGAAAAGTAAAAAAAAAGACGCTCTAAAAAGGCAGGTTTCTGAATGCCCACTGTTCACGCCTAGCTGTCCCTAACAGGGTGAAGACACCTCTGCACGGTGCGCTGTATATAACGACAACAAAAGCCATGTCCTGAATTGCCGGTGTCTCCGTGGCATTGACAAATGGTGATGAGCGCAAGATAGCAGCAGGAAGGCCAAGTACACTTTTACACAATGGTAGGCTATTTTTTATATTTTTTTGCAGAATGCAACGCGTCCATTGCACGACTCATTCACGCATCACGGCAGTGGCGTGCGTGCGTTCGGAATGTATTTTTTTTGTTGCATCTAAAGGCACGTTCATACGAGCTCTTAAAATGTCGCGACGAAATAACAACACGGAGCTGACACGTCTTCGCCGCGGTTTAAATCATACGTACTGGCGAATTTTGGATCCAAGTGAACAACGATGACGTTATACTCTTTGGTTTTATTCCGGTAAAGTCACGAAGGTAAAATAAAATAAAACGATTAAATCACGACGTTTCGGAGGCAACACAAGCTTCCGTCTTCAGGTGGAACAGTCACAGCAGAATATCTGTGTCAAGTGCACAATTCCGAGACGACTTGGATCATATATAGGTCAGGGGGGGGGGGAGGAGCCAGAGAGGAACGTGGGCGGGTGGGAGGGCTGAATTGAGCCGCCTTTTGTTAAACTGCAGGGGGCTCGGGGAGAGGGGTGGTGCACTGCACAAAAGCGGGTAAACTGCAGGGGGCTCGGGGGGAGAGGTGGTGCACTGCACAAAAGCGGGTAAACAAACAACCCTTTTGCCTTTTGTTATGTTGCCGGGGGGTTCGGGGGGAGGCGATGCAAAGCATCAAGTACAGACCAACCTTTTGGAAACTAAAATGACCAATTTCGATTTAAAGCTTTCGTGACTGCAAGGATTCATCTTCTTTGGTTCTTTCGGTAAAGTCACGTAGAATGCGAATAAAATAATAAATTGATAAAATAAAATAACACAATAATATTCTCACGACGTTTCGGCCACAACACAAGCGGCCTTCGTCAGGTGAAGGGGACGAGACTGTCTGGAAATGGCAGTACAATTAAAAGACAGCTAACGTTTGACTTGATTTATAACATCTTTCCAGTGGTTGCTCAATTGAAGTTGTGTCTATGTTTGTTCCTTTCTGGCTCCCCCCCCCCTGACCTATATATGATCCAAGTCGTATCGGAATTGTGCACTTGACGCAGATATTCTGCTGTGACTGTTCCACCTGAAGACGGAAGCTTGTGTTGCCTCCGAAACGTCGTGATTTAATTGTTCTCTTTTATTTTACTTACGTGACTTTACCGAATAAAACCAAAGAGTATGAATCCTTGCAGTCACGAAAGCTTCAAATCTCGAACGATGACGTTGTTGTTGTTGTGGCAGTGGGCGAGGGTGCGGGGGAGCAATGGCACAGTGGAACGGCTTAGTGCACCGCGCTATCTACCCGCCAAGCCTGCGTTTGATTCCCAGGCAACTGCCGACCTTCGTGTTGATCAATATCTGATGCGTTCCGATGACCTCCACTTCACCAACCCGTGCTGACTAGCATTGGGGAAGTACGGTCAAATAACCCTCGCTGCTGGACACACATTGGCAAATGCTTTCAATTTTTTTTTTCCCATTTCATTCACACAATTGCTTTGCTGCAAAACGGAACACCGTCTCTTACTGGCTGTGTTTGTAAAAGACTAATACACGTCACCTTTTTTTTTTAAACAAAGACCATTGCTGTTTTTATTGCATTTCTACTTTTGAAATCAGCATAAAAACAATCAGCAGTCATTCAGATAATTGACTAAGTGAGTGTGACAAGTCGACTCGTCACTAAGTGAGCGGCGAGGGTGGTTACTTGTCTCCATTTTAAATGTGCATTGATAACGGCTGACCATTTGTATGGCGGAGGTTTGTGAAGGAATGTGGTCCATTTGCAGGGCACTTTCAGAAGCAATCCGTATTTCTGCCAGGGAGCCTGATTGATTGAATGCTCGGGGAGCTGCCTTGTCACAACAAGTTACAGTCCGTGGAGATGAATGCAAGTGCAATAGTCAGCACAGCGGGGGCATTGAATGAAACGGGAATCCAGGACATCCACAGAGTCGCTAACAATAATACAGCATCGGCAAAATGTTGGGCGACCCGTCCATTTAAACAATTCACGGCAGTAACCATTGCAGTCTTTGTTCATTTCTGAATGAATTCTGACAAAAACGTCAACGCCTAATGGCATCAGTAAGTGTGCAGTGGGCGTTTTTTGATGTGAGCTGGCGTGAGTTGTCGACTATGATTTTTATGCTTTTGGCCAATGTTTAGTATGAAATTCTCCGTTGAGATATTGGGCTAAAGAACCAAACTGCATGGGTCACCTTTAACATTATATATTTCAAGAGGTTATTTTTGGCATACCTTAAGCCGCAAAGATGCCTGCAGGTTTCGTAAATAATGAGGCTATGAGTGGGAAGTAGTGGCGCAGTGGTTAGCACATTGTACTTTGAACACTGTGATCCGAATTAAATTCCTGTCTAGGGGTTAACATCACTCAATCAGTTCTGTCCCCCAACCTGCACTGACCAGCGTGGTACATCGAAGTCAACCCCATGTACAAAAGTGGTGGGGAGGCCTTCACCCAGCAGTGGATTGACAAAGGGCTGGAATTATTACGAGTTAAAGTAATATGATGCTACAGTTAAGCGTCTCATCAGTAGGACCTTACAAACCAAAACTCTTACGTACAAATTTGGGATGCGCTCCACAAGAACATCAGTAGACCAATTTTAACATTTTCTTTGTAGATGTAAAATTAAAAACAAGCTACAGTGCGACTGTGACCAAGCAACCTAAACTATTGATGATATTTTGATTTAAAGCTTTCGTGACTGCAGAGTCATATTCTTGGTTCTTTCGGTAAAGTCACGTAGAAGGGAAACAATAAAATAATAACAATATAAAACAATACAATTCTCACGACGTTTCGACTGCAACACATAATCAGGTGTGAAAACCACAGCAAGAAAATTTGAAAAAAGTGGCGTTTTTTTAACGTTAGCACCACGGAGAGCGATTTGGCAGTTATTCAGATGGACGAGTCCATCTATGTTCGGAAAAGAGGAGGGGGGAGACGAAAATAATGGATGCGGTCTGAAAGCCACCGTAAACGTGAACAATCAATTAAGACCCAAAATGGTTTATCAAATCCTTCCAATGATTGCTAAGCCAGAATCCATCTTCTCGGTTTAAATTGTCTCTGTGCTTGTATATGTGGATAGCCTCATGAACGAATCTCTCATGGTAGCCAGATGGCTTGCAAAGAACCTCTGTCTTGGAGAAGTCAATGTCATGTGAGCCTACTGAATATATAACAGTGATCTGCCACGGCCGAGGTGTTGGTCCTACCGTGTTTTAGGTCTGCTTTGTGTTCACGAATGCGGTCCGAGACATGTCGTTTGGTTTCTCCAATGTAACTACTACCACAGAGGCAACTTAGTTTGTAGACGCCAGGGCACTGTATGTCCGGAATCACATCTTTTACAGACGGAACCAGATCACGGATTTTATGTAATGTGTTGAATCGGACCTGGATCTTGTGTTTATTTTATTGTTTCCCTTCTGCGTGACTTTACCGAAAGAACCAAGAATATTGATGATATAGCAAACCACTATAATCAGCGCTCCTTCAACAAAGGAGGAATAGCAAAATTAAACCTTGACATTTGCATTTAGCTCTTTAACATATTCACATACACAATAATTTAAAATGGAACTCGTGATGTGCTCCTGATTTTCAGATGAATAAAAAAAATCAGGCCCACCTAATTTGGGGATGACACAGGATTAATTGGTTTCAAATTGACCCGAACACCAGAAGTGATGTCACTAAATATGGCGTCATGTCCACACTTTTTTACCGCCAAAAAAATTGCGTCCTGGTGACATAAATATTGTTAGCACGTGGACACGTCAACACATGACAAAGCATACATGGTCCAAAAATCCTAAGAAGATCTGAAATTGTACTTAAAAAATAAGTTAAACGTTTACATCTATAACTCATCTAGTTGTGCATGCCCGTTTACTTAAAAAAAATTACACCATCTTGAGAAATAAAAAAATAGTACCTCACGCAGGAACAGCCTAATAATGGCCTATGGGTTGTAATGTTAAAAAAAAACATTTAAACGAAGCCAATTTAGCCAATACGAGGTGGTCCCAGTGGTCGCTAGGAACAATATATATCATGGGAATTTATGGTCATGGCTTATTCAGCTAGGGGTTATTTTTTATATCCAGGTCATGTTTAGGGTTTATGATGTTTAAGTGTGAGACCTTTAGTGCATGCAGCATATAAACAGCCTTAGGTGAAAGGAAATTATTCTAATCAAAAATGTTATTGCCACATTATTCACATTTCTACATTGGAGTCATTTGAATTACCAGAACAATGGCACCCAACTTATGACTTGAACTAGAAGGTTCAAATTAAATTCAGACATACGTTTTTAAAGAACACTGTATTTCTGCACCGTTTTAAATGCCACAATTGGTTTAGAATTGTGTTGTGTAAAATGTTAAGTTGTTAATTTATGGCTCTAAGGCTCATGGATATACAAATGTGATAATACATCAGACTTTCCATGTCTAGGTGGAATGCACAGAACTGATTGCACAATGAGTATTTTGACAGTCATTCAGGGCTCCTATTGTTTTGAATGTGACCATAATAGCATCCATTCTTATGGTAATGTACAGCTGGAACATTACAATTGTGTGACTTCATTTTAAAAAAGCCCAGTTATGGTGTTGTATTATTGGTGTAAACACGATGGTACGTGATCTCTGCATTTTATGGCTGGTATATTTATAGTTCTGGAGAAACTATAAATAACATTGACCTCTAATTACATACACACACACACAAAATAGACCCTGAAAGTGATGAAACCGATCTAATTCTTGTCATAAATTCTACACTTAAACCTGCTCGGCAGACGTGAAAATGCAGTGTGCAATGTGCAGTGAAAAACATATGGAAATGGGTTAATATGACTTATTGCTGTGTGCTATGCGTGAGTTCACAGTCTCACTCCCTCCGCCGTGGGTTTGTTTATGGAGGGAGAGCCGATTTTACAGGATTTACAGTGCATTGGAGGCATTTATCTCACAAGGGGGAAGGGCAGATGATGCCTCAGTGGTGTGGAAGCATGGTGGGAGGGGGAATGCATCAATGCAAAGGGCAAGGATGAAATGGACTCGGAAGGTAGGGTCAACAGCTTCTCTGATTGCTCAATTATATTTTGCATCTCACACACCTTTACCTTTTCCAACGTTATATTCCACTGTTTTAATGCCCTGGGCGTGTGCGTGAGCATTTGCCAATTGGTGATTGTGACGCTGACCACTGACTCCCTCTCTCAGGCTCATCACTTGGAACGTCACAGTACCGACACAAAGCCTCAGCCATCACATAATGCCGGGAGAAT